GTGTGAATACTGAGCACTGTGACTTCCCCAGGTCAGGCTATAGGTGATAATAAGAAGGTTGAGCTATTTCATCTGCTGGAGTTTTCTAATCTGACAGTTGTCAGAACTGCGGCATTCACGTTAAACAGTTGATATAATGGACATAACCTGGTGCTCCTTGCTGTTCAGATTGATTGTTGATCTTGAGCTAGTCAGGTGCTTGTGAAATTCAGAACTGTGTTATCCTTACTCTGTCATAGTATACTCTGTTTTTTCTGCTTATAAAGCGTAGGACTGTACAGATATGTGTTTGGAAGAGCATTGTGCTTAAGAGGTAACAAATGTTTTTTAAAATGAAAGCTCTCTTTCTGTGTGCTTTTACCTAAAACTAAGTGGTCTGATAAAGAAAATTTCCTTCTCGTCAGGTTAGTAGGTATTTGTTCTTTCTTTAGTAATGTAAATTCCTGCAACTGGCAGCAGTATTTAAAAGCTAGTAACTATAGCCAGCTAAGAGTATTACGTATTTTTGGAAGTACAGAAGTGGATCTTAAATGTTGTTCTAAGTGTAACAATTAGATACTATTTATTAAGTCTGTGATTGGATTTTAGAAGAGGATAATACTTAAGACTCTCTGTGTTTCTTGGAAAGTCTTGAGCTAGAGATGGTTGCTAGAGGGCAAGATTCTTTCAGAATAGTGTCTGAATACAGTGAAAGACTGTAGGGCCAGTTACAGTTGTTGATATTTAATGGGTTCTTAATGTGCAGTTACTGGTGTTAAAAATCAAACATGTAAAAACTGTCTAGCACTATTGATTTCATGACTGCCTTAAGTTTATATAATTGTTGATTGTCATAAGAAGGGGTGTTCCCACCTTCTCCCACCTCTATCTGATTACTCTCTCTTTTGCTGGTATTAGTGATGGCTAGGCCTGTTTTGTGAAAAATCGATTGCTTCCTTGTTTTGCAGAGCTAGGGTTCAGATGGATCAGTAAGCTGCTCTGCTCATGTCTCTGAAATGGCTGGAGGAGAGACGCTGCCCTTTGTGGTAGAGTGGCCTAGAGACATAGTAAGCCTTGAGTAAATCTGTGCCACATGGGCACCATGAGGGACGTACCTTTTGTTGAGAGTGGGGGCTGACATACAGAATCATAGAATGGTCTGGGTTTGAAGGGACCTTAAAGATCATCTAGTTCCAACCCCCCTGCCATGGCAGGGACACCTTCCACCAGATCAGGTTGCTCAAAGCCTCATCCAGCCTGGCCTTGAACCCTTGCAGGGAAGGAGCATCTACAGCTTACTTGGGCAACCTGTTCCAGTGTCTGACCACCCTCACAGTGAAGAATTTCTTCCTAATATCTAATCTAAACCTACCCCCTTCCAGTTTAAACCCATTTCCCCTTGTTCTATCACTACCTGCCTTTGTAAAAAGTCCCTCCCCAGCTTTCTTGTAGGCCCCCTTCAGGTATTGGAAGGCCACTATAAGATCTCCCCGAAGCCTTCTCTTTTCCAGGCTGAACAGCCCCGACTCTTTCAGCCTGTCCTCGTAGGAGAGGTGCTCCAAGTGTGTATGAAACTGCAGCCTAGAGATGCTGTGCATAGATGAACAGTCACTTTGAAGTTTATTTTGTAATGCGTGTCTGAAAAGAAGCTACTACTCGGTTTTTGCTGAGCAGTCTTAGCTGAAGTTTTTTTTCATGCATATTGATAGATTGGCTGCCTGGTGTTTTAAACCAGGTAAGAAAGGAAAGGAACAGCAAAGAGTTTTTTTGCTTTGTTTTCAAGTCAGACAATACCTGATAGGGATGAATGTTTTAGGAATGCTAGTTATTTATGATCCAGCCTTATTTACTGGGTAATAAGATCAGTTTCTTAAATTTATAGGTGTTACTTTTCCAAGGAACTATACTTGAAATGTTATTAGCCTTAGCCCTCAGTTGCTGTTAGGGCAATAACTAATTGCCTGATGAAAAGATAGCTATGTAGTTTAAGCTTCAAGAATATCTGACCTTTGAGTAATTTGAGTAGCATGTTAAGCTAGGAGTATCTCACTAATTAACACAAACTTGCTTGAAAAATCTTCAATTTTTTTTTTTTATATATATCACTTTCAGTAAAACCAGTTTGAATTTTGTTAATGACTGATATGTGGCAAACCTCCAGTGTTGGAGATGTGTTAGTGCACAAACAAGTGGGTATGTTTATTCCATGTGTTAGAATCATAAGGTTTTTGTTTGCTCTGATGAGATGTATGAGATAAGGATGCAATATTTGTTTGTATTTTTGAGTCTTACTTCTGATTTCTAAGCAGAAATCTCACTGATGTTACTGGAATTTATTATTTTCTAAATATTAAGATTCGCTAAACAGTACTGTAAATTATATTCTATTAAGTCATATCCTCAAATTTCAAAACCAGCTAAAATGTTTTGTTTTCATTCTAGTTCCAGCTTGTGACACAAGATTTTCAGATTTTAAATATCCTGTATTTTAAGGAGCTAGTTTTTTGTAAGTGAAAAAGCTTCAGTCCCTTAAAATTGAGTTACAGCTTGAAAGCTCTATGAGACTCGGGTGATCAGCAGCCATAAACTATAGAGAATTCATTATATTTACTAATATGAAATTATTCATAAAACTTTCTCCAAACTATAAATACACTGTTAAACTAATTTTTTAAATTTCAGGATACTTTCTGAAGTATTTTGCAAGTTGGTACTCTTCTGCAAGCTGTCAGGAGTTTATTGATCAATGCTATATTAAACGTCTTTTGTTACTTATTTTTCTACTCTTTCTGTCTTTTCTTTTGAAAGTTTTATGTGTTGGAAATATAGCAAAATTTTTTTTAATTATCAGGATGGAAAGCAATACTAGGATATATTCTTATTTTATTATGTCAATGGAACCCTTTACTAAAAAGAAAAATAACTACTTGGATATTTACAGTGAGCTTTATTTTTATTTTACAGGACAAGATACGAGCAATGCAGGTCAAAAGCAGTCTTTCCTTAAAGAGCCAATCCAAGTAAAAGGTAAAGAAATGCTGCCTGTGTTAAAATTTTACTGCTCTCTGCCAGTAGTTAAAGAGACATGTAAGGAAACTGCGGGTCCTCTCAGTTGTGTAACAAGCTATGTAAATAACATTTTAAGACACACTTCTATGTCTGCTTTGTGTAGTACCCGGTTGTTTGAAAATGAAAGGTGAAGAATCAAGTATAGCACTGTTCCTTCTGAGTACTCGCTCTTCTATCTCTGTTTTTGTTTCATTTAAGTGGATGAGCTTGTCTGGAAAAGACTAATTTGTTTTCTCATCTGTTACCACAGTCTGTCTTCCTGGCGTGTTTTAGGCGTGTCCTGTCACCATCTCAGGCTTAATGTGGCTAAGCTGAATACTCGATCTTCCCCTGTTCCTTGTTCTGAGTCTTCCTCTGTTCCTTCTTATTGCAGAGTTAATCTAATCAGTGTTGCTTCTAAATGTATCTTGACCACATGAACTGCCTAATCTGAGTCCTGTAATGTTCCCATTTGTGCCTGTAATAAATACATGCTTTTGTCTTTAGTTACATTTTTTAAAAACATAAGTGGATAAAATAAGAGCATAATTTTCTTTCGTGTTTTTAATTTATCATGATTTGGTTTCACTCCATCTTTACTCTGATAGTTTCTATTATGTTATTGTGAGAATTATACTATTAAAAACTCCTGTACTTTTAATCACTCTATGGGAAGAACTTTATCAAATTAGAAATTGTAATTTCTCTTTAAATGCTGTCAGGGTAAAAAAGAAAAAAAAACCTGGAGTGAAAGTGACTCAGCAGGCGATAAACTGTGTCAAAATTCTTTCCAGTCTTTCCTCAGATTTAGAGAAACATCAGATCATAATACTTGTCAGTAACAATATGAGATCATTGTCTCTATGTATACTTTCCATGCACTTTTGTCTACATTCTTTATGTAAATTTCTTGGGGTCTGTTGTTGTTTGGTGTATGCATGCAGGAGGAACATAAAAGGTAGATAGGATAAATTAGATAGACTGTGAAATAATTGTAAAAATAGATATGTCTCAGTGAGAAGAGAGTTTGCCTCTAGATTATAGACGCACAAGCAAGAATGTGTATGTTAAAGATTTTCTGTGTCTAGAAAGTGGAATTCTAGTCTTAGATGCTGCTGTGACTTAGAAACTTATAGATCCAAGTATTACAAAGACAGTAACATTTTTAAAGGATCACTAATCTTAAAAAAAATTGCTATTTAAAGTGTTTTATTTACATAATCTTTTATTGAGCTTTGTCCTTCTCTTGGAAATACCAAATTGATTTTTTTTTTTTTTTCATCCACATTTAGCACCAATTTTATACAGTTATTTGAACTAGGGGTAGGATTGTTGAGATATGCTGCAATGTACATTTGGTTATATTTTCATTCAATAAAATTTACCTGTATTTCTGAAAGATGGATTAGTAGGTATTTGATAAATCCACAAGTTATTTTTTACTAAAATTAGTACACTTTGGATGTGTATCTGTTTTCAGTAAGAAAAGATGGGAAGCATTCTTGTTTAAAGATGTTCACCCTGTTCTAGCCTTAATTTTTTTGTCACGTTCTCTCAGGAGCATTGTAAGACGAATATTACTCAAGTACTTAAAACAGTTGTTTAAGTTCAAGCTGGATAACAGAAATCAGATTATTATGGTAAATATTGATATCTGTAGTGTTAGTGGATTGTTGAGTGTCAAGCAATGTATTTTGCATTTAAACCTTCAAAACTCAGAAATAATCATAGAATCATATTGTAGAGTATCAGATTGGAAGAGATCTCAAGGATCATATGGTCCAACCTTTCTTGGCAAAAGCATGGTCCAGACAAGATGGGCCAGCACCCTGTCCAGCCAAATTTTAAGTGTCCAATGTTGGTGAATCCACCACTTCCCTGGGGAGATTATTCCAATGTCTGATTGTTCTCATTGTGAAAAATTGTCCTCTTGTGTCCAATTGGAATCTCCACAAGAGTAACTTGTACCTATTACCCCTTGTTTTTTTCCATGTGACTTCTTGTAAAATAATTTAATTTTTAAAAGGGATTAATAATAAAATTAAATTTTAATTAATTAATTAATAATTAAATTAAAATTTTAAAAGGGATTAATAATTAATCCCTTTTAATACTGGAACATGGTGACGAGGTCTCCTCTAAGCCTGCTTTTCTCAAGGCTGAACAAACCCAGTTCCCTCATCCTTTCCTCAGATGGCAGGCTTCCCAGTCCTCTGATCATCCTTGTGGCCCTCCTCTGGACCCTCTCCAGCCTGTCCACAGCTTTTTTGTGTGTTGAGGACCAAAATTGAATGCAGTATTCTAGCTGTGGCCTGACAAGTGCTAAGTAGAGTAGGATAATGACTTCTTTATTTCTGCTAGTGATGCCCTTGTCTATGCAACCCAGCATCCCAGCTCTCTTTGCTGCTGCAGCACACTGTTCATTCATATCAAGCTTGCTGTCCACCAGGACCCCCAGGTCCCTTTCCACAGAGCTTCTCTCCAGATGGGTAGATCCCAGTCTGTGCTGCACTCCTGGATTATGTTTTCCCAGGTGCAAGGCTTTATATTTGTCTTGTTCTTGTTAGCCCACTCTTCCAGCTTATCCGGGCTCTCCCTTCTGAAGTGTCCATTTCCCCACTCAGTTTGGCATCATTGGCAAACTTCATCAGGATACACTTGATCCCATCATCTAGATTGCTTATGAAGATACTAAACAGTGTTGGGCCCAGTATCAGTCGCTGGGGGACCCCACTTGTGACAGGCTGGCAGTTTGAAAAGGAGCTATTTACCACCACCCTCTGGGTGCAGCCTGTCAGCCAGTTCCCCACCCATTGCACAGACTGTAACCCATCAGTTTCTCTAGGAGGAGGCTGTGGGGAACCGTATTGTGAGCCTTGGAGAAATCCAGGTAAACAATGTTCACTGCTCACCCCACATCAACTGAGCAGGTTACTTTATGGTAGAAGGCAATCAGGTTTGTCAAGCACAGTTTGCCCTTGGTGAATCCATGCTGGCTTTTCCCAATCCTGTGCTTCGTTTGACTTGTGATAGCCCCCAGGAGGATTCGTACCATAACTTTCCCAGGGACTGAAGTAAGACTGATGGGCCTGTAACTTTCTGGATCCTCCTTTAAGCCCTATTTGTAGATGGGGGTGATATTAGCCTTCTTCTGGGATGTTCCCCAATCTCCATGACTTCTCAAGGATAATGGAGAGTGGCCTCACAATGATGTCAACCAGCTCTATTCACCCTTGGATGGATATTGTCAGGGCCCATTGATTTGTAGGGGTCAAGCTCCTGTAACAGTTCACTTGCGATCTCTTCCTTCGCTGACCGTGGGTCTGTGTTTGCGCCAACCTGGATTTTTGTTCCCAAGGCCTGGGGCTGAATAGTGCTTGTAAAGACAGAGGTGAAGAAAGCAAGAACCTCTGCCTCCTCAGCATTGTTGGTGACTAATTCACCTCTCCTGTTTAACAGTGGGCCAATATTTTCCTTCTAAGACAATGTAGAACTCTGGGAAAAATTTTCTCAGTCTTTAAATGCAGTGTGTTTCTGCAAGTGTCCTGTGACTTAAGGAGAAGTTCTGAACTAACTGTAGAAATCATATCAGTCCTGTGACACACAGGAAGTTCATGAGTGTTCATATATGTTCTTGCCTATAGAATTTGAGCTTTTTGTTTTCAGTTGTGTTATATCCTTCAGCAATTGCATCTTTTCTTCCAGTGTGTGTAACGTTTTTAATAGAAGTGAGTGTATAGTGACTTAACTTAATCTTATTTTCAAATGCATGTACTTATAGACAAGCAGGAAATAATGGCGTAAAGTTAAAATTCAGTTTATTCTTTTTCTGAATAAGTGTGGTATTCTTTTCCTTGTGCATGAAAATCTGATGTCATAAGAGTACGTCTTCTAGACATACAAAGCATTATGATTAAATAATTTATATTTTAAATTGTTATAAATACCTAATATTAAGTGTTCTAATTTGGAAAGTAATAGCTGAGAAAAATTACATGTACAGTCTTAGTTCTCTGTCTGGTCTGCAGAGGTCAAAAATCTTATTTGTGTAAGGTGGAATTGATTAAGTGTTGTAAAAAAAGAAATGGAGCTCTATGTTGCTGTTTCAGTTGCTAGAGGAAGGGTTTACTGTATTTGAATGCTGTCTTAGTAGCCAAGTACCGTCTCTGACATCAAAGTTGGCGTGGTAGCTGACAGTAGCAGTTAAGTGTGTGGGGTGTTTGAGAGCCCTGAACTACAACTTAGCAAGTATCATTTTTGGAGGTAAATCATTCTACTCACTTATTTCCACAATGAAGAACATTCCTTTCTCTTCACTGTAAGTTTTCTGTCTCACTGATAAGCATTATTTTTCAAATTTCCACGTAGAGGTATCATGATAAGACATTAGATTAAATTACCTTTTGAAGTTTCTGCTGTAGTCTCCTTGAGTGATTTACCTTGCTTATCTATTTCTGTTTTTAAGTGAAAGCAGTCCTTAAGAAAAGAGAGTATGGACCAAAATACACACAGAATAACTTCATCACTGGAGTCAGAGCAATAAATGAGTTTTGTCTTAAATCCAGGTATGATGGGTTTGAGTTGATGTTTAAATTGTGAATATTTGTTTGTTCGTATGCGCTTCAAAAGTAATTGTGATTGTAGAGTCATTTTGCACAGCAGCTTTTTCTAAATGATTTTGTGTTATGGGTAATCATAAGTAGCTGAAGTTAGTTCTTGTTTACTTAGTGTTACAGTGGATTAGAAACTTGCATTTAGTTTGCACGTTTCCTTAGTGGCTTCTTAAAGTAATTTATTTGTGCTTGTATGACCATAAATCTAGTTGAGGGTTGTCTACCCGTAGAGCAGCTAGTCATAGGGAGGAATGGCAAATAACTTTTGTTTCAGCATTTTGGGATCATGATGGTTTGATATGAACATCTCTAAAAGATCAGTGGAAACTTAATGTTACATGAGGTCTATAATTTGGAATAAAATATAATCTGATGCATTGTAACCTAACTATTGTTACTTGATTAATGTTTACTGCCTTTTACTATGTGCCATGCCTGCCAGCAAGTCTTACTGAGTATCACTATAGTTGAGGTGTCTCTCAGATTTCATGCATGTTATCTTAGTGTCCCCAAGGCTTAGCAGCAGCTTTGTTTATCACTTTTTATGCTGTTACGGGTCTTCCCCAGTTTTTACATACAGAGTATGTCACCAGACTTGGTCATGGCTGAAAATCCAGTGACAATTTATGCTTAGCTCTCTGCCATATTTTTATCATAACTGGCTTGTTGTGCAGCAAAATAACTAGCTAAAGTTTTGCTGGATTGACCAAAAGGGGGAAAAAAAAAAAAAGAAAGAAAAGACAAAAAAACAAGATAATTGGTTTGGCTAAAAATGAATGGTTCTGTTGTATTAAAAAAAAAATAAATATATATATATATATCCCTGATGCTTCTCAGTGTAGATGCTCTAATGTGTAGCTCAGCACAGGAAATTTATTTGTTCCCCCAAGTAGTTTTGTTATGTCCAAACTCTAGCAGCTTGTGCTGGTTATGTAGGTTTTGAGGTTAAACTTCTTAACTTTTAATGTCACGTGACTTCTGATTTCCATTTAGAGATGTTAAGCCCTGAACCCTCTTGTTTAGCAGTCGTGCACATCATCAGTTACATGCAGATCATTCATGGGGTGTTTTAGTATTCAGTATTTTATTTGTCTTCCGTGTATTGTATCTCATAGTGTGAGGACATGATTTAGACTTTTGAGTGTGGAAAACACAGTGGTTTTCAATAGCATCCTAGAGATTACTTGCTTCATGTTGAGTGTCTGCTCTTCGGCTCAAGTAAACAACTTCAGGTTTTTTGTACTGCAAATTAATAATATCAAAATTGTGGAAGAGCACCCAGACATAAAAGTAAAATTAGAATAATGTGAACTTTTTCTTGCACTAAACTGTTTGTCTACTTTCCTTAGTGATTTAGACCAGCTGAGGAAAATTAAACGACGAAGCCCCCATGATGACACTGAGACTTTCACTGTGTACTTGAGATCGGATGTAGAGGCAAAGTAAGAACATTTTTATGAAGGAAAATGTTTGGATCATTTAAAATGGATTATACGAGAGAGAGAGAGAGAAACTTTCAAAACTTGCATTTACAATGTGAAAGGACAATAATGTTTTCCATTTTTCTGTCTGAACACATTTTATATCCTTATTATTGTAATAATTACATGGTGTTGTATATAAAATTGGAGAGTATGTTTCATGTGGCCAAAGATGAAAGTACTTGTCCTCAACCCCCTCTTGCCCAGCTTTTTATTCTGTAAAGTAGTCTGTGTGGCTTCGTATCAGAAAGAATGATGTGATGTTCTGCTTTTAAAAAAGGCATTTATAATGTAGTCAAAATGAAAATAAGTTTATAAATAAAACCATTGTTAAGTTACTTTTACTCTGTGCAGGTCTCTTGAAGTTTGGGGTAGTCCAGAGGCTCTTGCTAGAGAAAGAAAAAGACGTAAAGAAGCAGAGATCAAGTACAGAGAAAGTGAGTATATAGAGTTTTCAAATAATGTCAGATGTAAACAACAAAGTATGATTGTTAGAAATCCACTAGATGGTGTGTTATTTCATTGAGAACATACACATTTGAAATTAGCAATTACTGATAAGGTTTTATAGCATAGTGTTATAGTCTGTTACTATCTTACAATTTATCATCTATGTGATATAGCAAGAATATACATGTAGTTGAGATCTGTAGTCATACTCTGTTTTTTGGGGGGCTTTTGATTTTTAGATAATAATTAACATCTTCAATGGTTTTGGATTTTTTTTTTTTTACTGAGAACTTTGACTTAAAATCAGTCCAGATCTTGATACCATACCATTACTAATTTATTTTTCCTCTGAAATGAATTCAGCTTACCTTTGCACTTCTGAAGGTGGGAAAACACCCCTAGATCATATTTTTGCTTAAAATTATTGTTGTAAACCTTGCTGGTATTACCAATAACAGGTTGTGGTGGTTTTGGCCTGGCCAGCAGCCTAACACTGAACAGCTTCTTGCTCACCTTCTCCCATTGGGACAGGGGAGAGAATCGGAAGGGTAAAAGTGA